GTGGTTGACACCAGGGCATGCACGAGGATAACGTGAGTACACGAACGCTGTCTAAGTTCGACTTACACGTGTAAGGTAATCGAACGCACCCAATGGTAGAAATTAAGGCCGTTTTCCAATACTCAACTTCGTCTCCGTATTAGGCTTCGTTCCCAAAACCAATCCCCAATTGTGGGCCTGAAGCGTTTAAACTACATTGGATTACTGTAATTTTTGGCTTTCTTGCATCTTATTTGATGTTCTGTGGCACTATTAGACTGATTACAGCGCTTACAGCTTCAAAGTCAGCTAGTAAAAACAGTTGAAGCCTGAACGGAGCCGAATTGAGTATTGGAGAACGGCCTAATAATATCCAGTTCGGAACCAAAGATCTTTGTTCGGAACCACAAAGTGCTGGAACTTCCCAATGAATGCAATAATTTTTTGCGCACATGCCCCCAAAATATGCCCCAGTTATGTTCATGCCAAACAAGGGTAAATGTAATGTTTCTCCGACAGTCTGCCTGCTCTTGCCGTCAAAATAACCACTGCTGTTCACCCTTACGCCCATCACTTTGCATAGCTCCAGACAGAAAACCACCGGAATTGGTACGCGGAACTTGCCCCGGGCATCAGACAAGATATGCGTACCCTCTGTTAGCGATTGCAGTTGTTAGATGGCCTGAGCCAAATGCAACAGACGACCGTAGCAATCCCGTCAGGTGAGTAATCATCTCTCCATCCAGGTCAAATCAGTTTTCCCATTTTAATCTGGAATATCAGAAAAAACCTGAGAAAATTTAAAATGCAGAATTCGTTGACAATATTGAGTAAGTTTTGGTGTTTAAGGTACCCTTGCATTGTAAAATGTAATCAAACTTAAAGAGAAAAACAGATCACGTATAGTTTTTTGTCATTGCAATAGTCGCGTAGGCCCCCTCCCGTATTACGGAATTGGGCAAGAATTCAGCTGAGCGTCCCCGAAGTTACGTGGTGCAGTCCAAAAAAAAAAAAAACAAGCTAAGAAAATCCCACCTAAATATTCTAGAGGTTCTTTAAAGTTGGCAAATTGTGGTAAATCATCACAACCCTAACTGACATAACCAAGTGTAATTATTTTCGTATAGTTTTGGGGCATTTTAAAAGAGATTATTTTGCACTGAACAAAAATGGAAACTCGGGCCAACATAAAGTTTTATCAGTGCTTTGAAGCGAGTACTTAAATTCGAGATTTATGAATCAGAACATTGGGAGTTTAGTTTTAAAATTTCATCAACTTTGGGGTTCAAAATATTGGTCTGATAAGATACTAGAAGCGAAATTCAAAGCACACCACGCATCACGGTACGTTTTGTATGCCTGACATGGTGCCCTCTGTATTCATTCTCTAAATCACTAGATTACTACAGTGAGCTCATTAATATTTGTTAATCCCCAGGGTTTTTATGATAAGAACTGCCATAATCGGGACCGATCATATATAGATATTTCTGTCAGTCACGAATTTTTGACCTGTGACTTTCAGCTCTGGTAATTTTATTTTCAAAATTCTCCAATTTGTTGGCCTATTTTCCTAGAGGCGGGTGGCTATACATTTGGACCTGAGCACTGAGTTTGACAACTATTTGGGGTACTTTTGGCTCAGGACAAATTTCAAAAATCGCTCGGCTAACCCCTATGAAAGTGAGAAAAAAATTTAGCTTGAGGCGCATAATCTTGAATTTCCAGTGAAATACACAACTGCGAGAGGCCAACTTATATGTGAGGGTCATCAGCTAGGCGGCGCTATTTCTGTCTGATTTAACTTGTATACTTTACGGGAGCGTGTGGGTGTTCACTGCCTCGACCCTGCTCTTGTTTGGTACACACACAATGTGAATTGGCATACTGGCCGGGGAAAATGGTAGTTATTTATCAAAAATGGCAAAACTGAGGAGATGACCAGCCGGCGCGACCCCGCAATCCCGACATGCAGACAACATAGGTATAAACAATATCGTTTAGGCCATCGACTGGCTAGACCCGTAAACAGGGATTGACGTACCCCCAGAACTGTGGGGTCCGACGTCCGCTCCTCTCCCATGAGAGGGGTCCGACGTCCGCTCCTCTCCCACGAGAGGAGCGGACGTCGGACATGTGTCGGACCCCACACCACAGTTCAGTGGTCAGGCCTGACGTAGGCCTCTACTCCGTAATAAACTGGGCCCTGTCCCGATTGATAGTGAGTCTTTCAAAAAAGTTTATCCGGGATGTCCGGGGGCATAATCAGACATGCGCTGGATTTTATGAGCTGAAATTACACTGGTAATTCACCACTGGCCAGTGCTTACGGGTTATCTATCCCCTAGGTTGATAGCCCCAATTGCAGAAAACTTGCCTTTTCCTAGTTTTGAGGAAAAAGTGTTGCCTTTGCAGTTGGCGTTTTCCCCCCTTCTAGATGAATTTTGGCCCGACTTGCACATTGTTGACGTTGTCACATCACAGAGAGGGAGCAAGCCACGCTACATCTTGAGTACAAGCGCAATTTTCATGATTAAAGGATTCTTTCTCAAAGGGGTCAAGGGAGCCATTCACAGCCATCTGTGTAGGGCTGTCTAAGCTTAAACTGCTACTAAGTGCAAGAGATGTTTGTTGAGTAGGCCTGACAGTTACATCTGGTTTGTCTTTGGCAGTGTGAAGTTAGAAGATGGCCTACCCAGTGGCAGCCGCTTCAGTGTCGCTAAGTCACCTTATTACATCAGATACTCCGCCACGGATGCAAAAAATAACAAAGTCCCAAACTTGTGTTCCTTCACCGTCAGAGTGAAGAGTAAGTGTTGAATATTCTAGCAGCATTTACTATTTTCACATGGGCCTTATGCTAAAACAGTTATAAAAAAAGCAGTGGATATTAAGCTGTTGCTGGCAAATTTAAGTAAATGATACACTGCTCGTCCATGTGCTGTAACATTTTTTGACTGAGGACTTATAACAAATCTTGGTCTGGTTCTGCAGCAGCATACATGTACATGTAGTCATTGTAACTTTGTTTTTATGAGGTATGAATCGGATCCTTTTTGCAATTTCAGACTCCAGGGCAACAAATCAGGAAAAGAAAATGTAATACTCTGTAATTAAATATTGGAGTCAATTTAAAAACAACAAAAGAATCTTTATTTAGGGGGGGTTGAAAAAAGACTTTAGCTGGCTATTGAACCCAGCCGGGGTGTGTTATATGATCTCAACTACACCACGTAGCCTTCTTAGAGTCAAGTGGTAATATAATAACCTTTAAAGCCTTACTTGTGTATATGCATCAAAGAGGGCACTGTCTACTGGAAGCCTCGTAAGTACCATTTTGTTAAATTTGCGCACCATAGCTAAATTCACCGTTTATCAAAAATTCTTTCCTCAGCAACCTTTCATGATGTGCATGCGGAACAAAAAAATGTGTGTGTCGGCAAAGGATTGATTTGTCAGGTCCCAATCCTTTTAAACACATCACAATTAAGTGCAAGCCCATAGGCCATATGAAAAATCAGAGAACATGAAAACTCATAATTTTTCATACATTTTTTATCACCATCAATTTTACGCTCCCTTAGCCAGAATCTACAACTGTACAAGCAGACCTGCGCTATTATGAGCCTCGTGCACAGTGCTAAAATCTGCACAGAAAATGGCAGGCGCACTGAGCGCTGTGAGATGTAATACAGAGCTTGGTAGCGCATGTGCATAGGATGAAATTCATACGTCCTTGAGATATAAACTCACTAGTTGTAAGTTGTAATGTACATGCCCATGTTAAGAGAATAGGCAAGGCCAGTGATTGGCAAGTATGAGATGTTAGAGTTTGTAAAATAGCAAGTAGATTTCGCATGAAGCTAGGAAAATGTTTTAAACAAGTTGGTGGTTTTATCACCTATTCAAAACCACCTGCACAGTGCACGCTCTTGACCAAAGGGAATGGATAAACTATCCGACGTATCATTTGTGAATGGTAATTGATATCTGAGAATTTGTTTTTTCAGATTTAAAATTTAAAAGGGGAACTTTTTATTCTCCTATTCAGGGAAATATGACTGCATAAAAATGAATGAAAAATATAAAAAAACCACAGAGAACATTTTTGACGATCCGAAGGAAGGTAATTTAAATCAATTTAAGTTTTAATTGGTTCTTAATTTCCTACTGATTTGCTTGTATTGTCAAATCTACATGCAGCGAGATGTCATTTTTATACTCATTTTTCTTCTCCCCTTTAGTAAAGAGATGTGGGCCACACCCCCCAGTGACTTGGGGTTTGGTTTCCTGTTCTCATCAGGACCAGCACGGCTCATTATGTATCACTACCTGTGCCAGTGGTTACTTCATTCAGAGATCACGCAAACGAACCTGCAAAGCAAATGCAATGTGGTCTGGTCGTCCACCATTATGCGCACGTAAGAAGAAAAACTGAAATGGGTTGTGGTAGAACAGTTCTAGGCCCGCAAGTTCACACGTATCTCTTCTGTGATTAGTCATTCCGCTCTTGATTACTGTTTCACTTAATTGAATGGCTGATTTCTTTTCCCATATCACAATAATTTAAATCATCTATCACAAATGAACGTGTTGTCCATAGCGAGATCCTCAAAGGGACAGGGTGTACATTACAAAGCGTGTCATTTACTTGTACCATTCTGAAAACATTTTTTGCGTAGAATGTAGGGGTCATTTGATTGAAGGTGTTTTCAGTTCCCAGTTCTCTTGTGTCTTCTGAAAGGAAACCTTTGTTTTCTCATACCTCTGTTTGGATTGATAGAATGAAAAAGATGTTACCAAATAATTGACACATCAATTCATGTAGGTTGATCAGGTAGCCAAAACTACCTGTGGTCATAAATATACATGTAAACAAATCTGGACAGGCTCCTTTTAGAAGAGCAGTCACAGTCCTTGTAGTCAGCTGGCCAATCAAGACATACAGATCATCTGTGAAGACTTTTAACTGATGGGGATGGTTATGGGTTATTTATGCTCTTTCGATGCAGGGGTTGGTAACCAGATTATACTCGGCATACCTTCATTTGTTTGTATGGCTGGGACAAGCCAAATAGCTATATGGATTTTATACATTGTACTTACTTGAATGTTTTCATCAACATACTGTGCTGTCTTAGATATGGCATCTGCGCGTAGTTGTTAAGTAGGGTGATTTTTTCTCCAAACTTTCCAGCCATTCAGTGTCCCAACTTACCCGGTACATCCTGCACTGACTCCAACAACTATCGCAGCAGCTGTACTCACTCATGCAGTCAACCAGGCTACGGCCCTGCCCCAGGTCAGAGTGCAACCAGGACCTGTAAAGCTGATAAAACTTGGACTGGGACTGCCATAACCTGTGTTGGTGAGTAATGAAACCAGCTTCAAACCATTTCTTTGGTCGGAAAACTTCACAAATGTAGGGTTCTGTGTTACTAAGTTAATGACTATTCCAGCAATTTGGAACTGGAATTGTTGGGAGGAGGACAAGTCGCATCAACTCTCATACATCTAGGTTGTTGAGTGAGGCTTAGTGTGTGATGGGCAAGTTACATGTAGCTGAAATAAACTGATATTGAGGGCCACGCATGCGGTGTACGGACACTGCGTCAGACGGGCAAAAAGGGAAATCGTCTTAACACAGCTTTGGGGCTTTTCACTGCACAGATAAGCAGGCTCCAACACTGAACTGCCCTAGAGATATCAGGGTGTTTGCAGATGCCTCTCAGACCTACAAGAGTGTCACTTGGGGCCTGCCGCAAGTCAGTGACAATTCCAAGCTTCCCATCTATCCGGAACTGGTTCATGGAAGTCTACCACCAGGATCGATGTTCAGCAGAGGTTCTCACTCCATCACTTACCGGGCCACAGATGAAGCAGGAAACACTGCAACATGTTCATTCACCGTCCTAGTCCAAGGTGGGTTTGTACTCCGGAACATCGGTACAAGGTTTGGAGTAATTACATGTATGTAAAGAATGCAGCACATTTCTCTCAGGTTATTTGATGTATACTGGTTACAAAGTCTTGCATGTCCTTAAAATCCCTCTCAGTGTCTGTTACTATCATAAGCCCAATAAACCCATGGTCAATTAACAAAAACTCAATTGTTGTATGATGCAGAGTTTGTAAACTTTTGAAATTTACCCATTTGAAGTTTGGTTTAAGCCTATATCATTATTGGACAGTTGCCCTATCTGCTGTATTTTGCCTCTAAAATAAAAAAAGGTAGAAAAAACGAAGATGTTGAATTGACATTTTGTTACTGTATATCTGAATGCACCCTTGCAAATAAACATTATACATGTGAGTATTATTCGAAGAACAAGATGCTCATCTAAGAACCAAGCCATCTTCAGAGAGTGAAACTAGTTCTCAAATGCCCAAATAGGATGTAAGAGGTCCACCTCTTGTTCCCAATGCAAGACCGTTGAGGAAGCGTGGATGTTGTTTGAAAGGCTACATGTGACAATGTACACAAAGGCACCATGATTTGGCTGTGTTAAGTCTTCAACCCTCCCTTGATTTTGCAGTGAGTCACTGCCCTGCTCTCCAATTCCAATCTGGTCAAAGGATGTTGTGCTCATCCCAGTTCATCTATGGCTCTGTCTGCCAGTTTGAGTGTCAGCCAGGCTTTGTGTTGACTGGCAGTGCTAGTGTTGAATGCCAGCGACAAGGGAACATAGGAGTCTGGAGTGCAGAGCAGCCAACCTGTGAAGGTTAGTACTAGAAGAATTGCTGTGGATTCCAGGAGGTCAGCAGTGGCCCTCAGGGTCAACACAGGTGCGCACATGATCTCATGTCGGCTTAGGCTGCATCCGAATCTCTAGCCTAGAGTTAGGTCTTCGCTCCAATGGAAATGTGTGGAGATTCGCAGACAATAGACCTAGCCGTAGCTCTGGAAGCCCATTTCAGACATGGCCTTCTTAGAGTGTGTGTTAGTGTACAATATTTCTATCTGAAAATGCATGAATGCTTTTAGTTTTTGCGCGGGTATCTGTGGATAGAGGCTTTTGCTTTGTCATTGGCTCATACAACCTCTTTCCTTGTCATGAGTGAGGGCGTCCTTGCACATTGAGTGTTATCTTTGTAGTCCTTATTCTCATTTCATCACCAATCAGTTGCTTTTTTCTTCGTCGTTATTTCATAAAGGGCTTTTTTAACACAAGCTAGGGATTTTTTATTGTGCCCTGCACTCCTTTCGCTAATCAGTACTTCTCCTTTGTTATGTTAAGTAGTTTTTTTCTTATATCTTTGCTGATGTCCGTTATTCAATTTTGTGCTTATTCAGAGTGTGAAACAGATGTGAGTGCATTTAAAAAAAAAAGTGTTGTCTTGCAGCTATAACATGCCCTCCGCTGACCGCTCCAGAAAACGGTAGAATTGTGGGAAATACTCCATGCTCTACAGCCTATGGCTCTTGGTGTCAGTTTGAGTGTCATGACGGCTATCAGCTCGCAGGGAGTGGAGTCCGTCGCTGTCTGGCACTGGCTGGAGTATCTGAGGGCTTCTGGGATGGCTATGAGGCTCGCTGTGAAGGTATGTATCCAGAATTGAGTGCCGCACTATTCTGTATGTCAGACTTTTGGAGAATGAACATTGTGTGATCCACAGAAAGGTAATATATTACTTCAATTGTAGTCAGGCACTACACGCATTTTTGACTGTTCACAGTGCCCTTGCATAATGCAAACAGTGAAGAGCAACTCAGAAACTAAATCTAAGAAAGCTCAAAGTATTTCTTAAATTGTAGAACTGCTTATTGAATATGTTACGAGTTGAATGGTTAAATTGAAAGTTTAATTACCGCACAATGAAAAGTTTCTTTCCTCATTTTACAATTGGATGAAAAAGTGTGTCATAGAACTGGTATAAGTTGGCCACTCATGCATATCTATGCCCCCCTGCTGGATTTTTAGTGACCAGAATAGGGTCCCATTTCAAACAAATCGATGCAGTGATCCAAAATAAATGGGACATTCTTTAGGTCACTCACGGTCCCTCGGGCCGTGTAGATGTGCACTAGTAACCTCATTGTCAGTTCATATGTGTATAATAGAGATGTATTCCTGTCAATCACAAGTCCAATCACAAGTCGATCAGTCAAATCACAAATCAAATTTCAAGTAAACCACAAGTCAAATTACAAATCAATCAGAAGTCAAATCACAGGTCAATCACTGATGGATATAAATAATGACAGATCGAACTGGCCTTAGTCACAAGTCCATTTGGATGGCTTGTGACTTGATGACTTGGAAGGATTTATGATTGACTCATTGTCGACTTGTGATGACTGGATTACAACTCTGTCTGTGGCAGTGTGTTCATCTGGACTTCCTGACCTTGGTATGTCTTTGGATCATTCAGCCAGGTAGCTGTATCTGAAGGGTGTGAAAATGAAATCAGCTAAGCAGCCAGATGTGTGAATAATAAATGTGAACAATAAACTGTATCATTTGGACATTTAAATTCCACTTAAGCAGCCATTTGCTATACAGTAAAATCTCGATAACTCAAAGTCGGTTAACTCGAAACTTCGCTTAACTTGAAGAATAGTTAATTCCTGCCGAAAGAATAGGTTTTTATGTACAAAAACATATTCGTAACTCAAACTGCTCACGTTGCTGGATTCGTTTACCTCGAAGTTTTTGTGTAGCAGATCCAAAAGAAACCACCGCCAAAATACTTCCAGAAAGTGTAAACAGAACGTGGGTCAACTTATGAATCATTTCTGACATGCACACTTTGTCTTTTCACACCGGAACACGCGCTACAATGATGATTGATCGAGACAAGTAAACCACCCTGTGACCGCAAAATCCGACTTGCAGGAATTGGCCCAACTGTTACCATGGACCCATTGTAGCTAGTGCGTCGGCAGGCAAACTGATGGCTCTTTGCGGTGGCTGCAGCAATGCATTGGAGATACTTGTGTATGCCGCACGCGCCACTCGTACGTACGGAAGTTAAGTCTGGCCTAATGGTCTGGCCCATCTACTTGCGCTCGCCCGTGCGATGGCTGCCCAATTAGAGCCACAAACCACAGCATGCTCATGTGCAGTGGACCAACCACGTGACTGCAATACAGAGCTTTTGCATAGCCCATCTCACTCCCAACAAATAAACCAAAGTTTGAAAACAAAGAACAAAAAAACAAAAACAGACACCAATAGCATTTTTGTTTTTATGAAATTTTATTGAAGCGCAAAAAGGTGCGCCCTCATGTGATGAAAAAAGTCATCTGACTCATCAGGAAAACCCCGCCCGAGTACGCATGTGCAAGGCGCTGCGATGCGGTGCAGTTTAAGAAATGGGACCACCACAATGCGTCATACATGCCAGGCATGCAATTGTTCCTCGGATCGGCTGATTTCCATGTTTTTCACTTGGCACTCATGCCACTGAAAATTGACAAATGCTGTACAAAGTCTTGTAAAGACTGGAATTTCCTCCTTTTTGTCAAAGTCCAAGTTGCATGCCTGACATGCAAAAGAAAGATTTGCCACACAAAGGTACACAGTTTAAATGATTTACAGTACATGTGATGTGATATTTATCAGCCGATTAACAACAAAAATCCTCCGCAAAAATGTCTTTCTATGAACAAAAACTTGTGGCACTAAAGTATAAAATAACCACAATGTCATTTCAAAAGTCATCGTTGGGAGATTTACGGTAACTGTGCATCAGCGTATAGGTACGTGCTTTGATGCACATCGTAATAATGACTTAACTTTCAAAGAAATCAGGACCTTCTTTTAACTCGAATTTCAGATAACTCGAATGTCTTATCTATTCCCCAGAGATTTGAGGTATCAAGATTTTACTGTACATCTTAATTTCAGAATTTCCATTACGTTCTATACACATTTGGTGGTCTGAATCTCATATCCTTTTACAGATTTGTTCACTGCATATTTATCACAATTGCCTCATCGATAATCTGCAGTTTTCATTGTTCAGAAGTAAGTTTTTAAAGAATTTATAGCACCGCAAGAAAAAAAGAAGTAAAGAAACAGTGGACAGTGATTTGAATTGCCTAAGTATTAACATCTGGTTTAATAAGTTTCCATTGCTGATGATAGCATTTGTGACAGAGTCAGGCCTCCTCATCTGTGTCTATTTACCATAACTCTCTTTCTGCATTCAGAACAAACCTGTCCACGAGTCTACATTCCTCCCAATGCCTACATCAGCAACCAGAATGAATGTCCAGCCACTGGCCAGATCCCAGCAGGGACCACCTGCTGTTTTGCTTGCCGACCAGGCCACGCTCTGACTGGGTCTACAGAGGTCTCTTGTGGGACGGATGGAAACTGGAATACAGCCTTCCCCTACTGTGAAGGTACATGTATATGTAATGTAGTTTTTTGAGGCAAATAATCAAACTTAAACTTTTTACTTAAAATAATGAAATCTTCATAGAAATTTAGAAATTATTCAACAGTTAGGTGTGATGAAGAAATTCAATTTTTTGAGGTTTTAGCCGAATATTCATTGTTGGCTAAGAATAGAGAAATCATGTTTTTATTGTTGAATGTAATCTCGTTTCATCAAGTTTCATTTACAATGATGCTATTTTCATTGCCTGCAGTTATTACCTGTGACAGCAGTGAGTTGCCTGCACCGCAGAACGGAATTAAAAATGGCTGCCCCCATGCTGAGGAAATCTACGGCACAGTGTGCACCCAGATTTGTGACCTAGGTTTCATGCCGACCCAGCCCACTTACATAACCTGCCGTGATGACGGGAATGGAGTGGGAACATGGGATGGAAACACCATCACATGTGAAGGTACGGTCAGTGGGCTGGTCTGATGTCTACTTGGCAGTGAGCCAAGGAATCCTGCAAGTTTGCCTGATTCTAGCCTGGGGTTGGCCTCACTCAACAGCATCTGCCAATAGCTAACATCCCGTCCGTGTTACTTCTGACACTGCATCGAAACATAATCAAAGCAAGACAAGTTCTTGGTGCTTTATTTTCCTTTCAAAATAAGAAACGCTCCTAGTACGTCAAGAGTACCTAGACTGAAGTGTTTAAAATCAATAATTAATAATTGTTTTAACAATACTTAAAGAAACGAACGAACAAATCCAAGCCCAGTTTCAAACCTGCAGCTTTGTAGTAATTGTTATTATACAACAGACAATCTTTGTGAGCTTGAGCCTACAAGTATTGACGGCTTTGAGTGGTGTGGTAAAAGTAACTCCAGATGATCCATGGAGAAGTCTATTTTCCTGAGGTGAAGCCAAGGGAATAAGGACAGCTCTGTAGATTGCCAAGGGAGGCTAGTTTGACTACACTGCTTGTTAAAGCAGTTGGTATTTATTTTATAACACCTCTCACACAGAGTCCTCTTGATTTAAGCAAAAAGTGGTCACTCTGATCTAACTACATGTAAAATTATGTCTATTTGAATGACAAATTTGTTGAAAATTTATCAGCACAGTTCCAGACAACCTCTTCACAAAATGTTTGAACCCAGCTCTATAGCGCCCAGCACTTTGAAATGTGCGTGATGCAAAATGCTCACACTAGTATGCATTTGCACACAATGCCAGTCGTGTATAATTCTTTGGTTGCCACAAGTGTGGAGTACCAAAGTGAATACGCCACGTCCTAAATTATGTGTGTAAAAGGCATTGGTGCAGGAATCAGCATGTGAACCTACACTAGCAAGTACTACATTCGTTTGCATGGCAATTCCTGGTTCAAAATGACATCACTCTTTGGTTCTCTAGAGTACTTAGGTTGCTATTGGTATCGATCTTTTGTCTGTACACAACAATTGCCATGTGAATGGCTCTTGGCCAATCAAGACAGAATCTCCGAGTAAGGTGTTGTAATGAAAACTGGACAGCTGGCGGATTCCAAACATGTGTTAAATCAATGTATTCTTCATGTAAAGAAAAATGCACTATGAAAGTACTGAGCTTTTGCAAAAAAAAGTTTGGACAGTGTTGCTAGAAGGCATTTGTTAAAATAGCCAGGTGTGGTATTTATGCATAATCAAGAATGAGTCCAGACAGGGATTACAGTAAATACATGTAGCTAACAGACGGTAAATTGCTAATATTGTTAGGAACTGGCTGGTTGCAAGCAAATGGTTATTGGTGAACTCTACAGCTCAAACTTGAGCTTCTCTTTAAAATGTGCAAGCTGGAACCCTGCTGTCAGGTGTCGGCAATGTGCTGCTTGCTCTCTATTCAACTAATTGTTTGGGACCAACCAATCTAAAAGCGTGATGACCAGACATCACAACATTTCTTTAGCATCTAAAGTTTGATTTGCGTGGTTTGGCAGAGGTCAAATGTGATCCACTGGATGCCCTTGGTACTCCAGGCTACATGCCACTGTCATGCACGCTGGACGGAGTGCCTGTGAGTGGCACAGACCAGATGCAGAGTTACGGCACTATCTGCGTGGCATCATGTGACCTGGGATTCACCAGTAGCGGCTCGGGGAGTCGGTTTTGTCAGTTGAACGGCCAATGGGACGGTGTTCCACTGCAGTGCACAGGTAGGCACTCTTCACACATATTTGTTGGATTGTAGGCTGCATAATCATCTTGGCAGCTTTCTTTATTGTATACGTGTTCAACCAGATTTCTTGTAACAGAGTCATGGGAGAGACCTGAATGTAAATCCACCGTCTTTTTCACCTGTACGTAATGCGCTTCTCACAATACCCATCCTGCTTGGTACACGCCTCACTTCGCCATTTTGTGGCTGCTCTTTGACATGGTTAATACAGTTCAGGCTTTTTCAAGCAGACCTTGTGCCAGATGTAACCCCACCCA